CCTAACTGAACACCCTCTGTCCTGACAGTGCGCTGCAGTGCTATGGCTAACCCTAACTGAACACCCTCTGTCCTGACAGTGCGCTGCAGTGCTATGGCTAACCCTAACTGAACACCCTCTGTCCTGACAGTGCGCTGCAGTGCTATGGCTAACCCTAACTGAACACCCTCTGTCCTGACAGTGGCTGCAGTGCTATGGCTAACCCTAACTGAACACCCTCTGTCCAGACAGTGTGCTGCAGTGCTATGGCTAACCCTAACTGAACACCCTCTGTCCTGACAGTGGCTGCAGTGTTAGGGTTACCCCCCAACCAGAAACCCTTTCTCCTTTTTCCAGCTAGCGGACATTAGCTTATCTAGGCGTAGCAGCAGAAGCAGCGGCAGCTGCAGTGCCCCACACTGGCGGGGCTTAGCATCCGATGCCGCATTAGCGTTAGCAGACAGAGAGGTCCCGGCCTCCTGATTGGCTGTACCTTCTCCTTGAGTGATGGGGGCACTCGGTGCTTCAGTACTCCCTCCGAGAGCTTTGTTGGGGTCTAGAACGTAACACAGATATGGGTGTGGGTGCGGGGGGAGGGGTGGTGTTAACCTCGTTCACGAGTCATTCACGTTAATTTTGTCACTTTGCGCAAATCGGGGAAATGGAACAAAGCGATCACTGTTTCGAAAAAAGGGAAGCGTGAGAAAATGTGGTTCCCCACACGACGTGGCCAAAGTCTGTGCCGGGCCACAAGCCCGGCACAGATCCAAAAGGCAAGTCAGAACACGACACCAGATAATCTGTTTATGAGTTCCTGGAGCGAGAACGCGTCCTGGAGGCGGCGAACGGCCGACTCGTGCCTGCAGAACCGAGCGGAGCTTCATTCCTGCCAGATGGAACCACCAGATAAACAAGCACGGCAGAACCGCAACCTGTCAGTGCGTTAAAAAGTTTAATAAATTTAATAATGTACTCCTTCCGCGCACAGAAGGAAGGGCAAGTTGATTAAAAATGCAACGTGGCTGCAACATTTCGAGACGGTTTGTTTTTTAACTGTAGGAGCCAGAAAAAAAGCACGATTTCCCAAAATGCAAGCGGGGGTTTGAGGGTGATGTAACGTCACCTCCACGAAGTCACAAGCCTACCGACAGCGCTACATTAAGGAAAATACCGCCAGACGTCCCTGGCGCAGCACCACCGGAATGTGCCGGGCTATGCACGTTCAGAAAAAACAGGGCTCAGCCCGTTTCAACCCTCCCCGAACGCCCCGCGACTTCAGGGAGTCGCCATACCATAAAGGGCATCACAGGGCTCAGATGATTTCTCGTCATTCTGCGCCGTTTCTCTGACAGGACCCGAGAGCAAAAGCTCTACAGAAGAGACGGAGCCCACAGGAAGGAAGACGCACCAGAAATCGCGGTCGAGCCTCCTGAGTGAAGAGAAACGACTAAAGGGGGCGACAGGGGCCCCGGTTCCGCGGAAGTGCAACGCGACGGCTACCTTGCTCTTCCAGGATTCCATTGGGGATCTTCTTGTCCACCGTGGTGACGACTGCCTTCCGCTGGTTCCTTAACCTGGAGGACAGGCAGAGGTGGGGGGAAGAAATCCGGAGCCCCCGTGAGACAGTGGTGGGGGGGGTGAGCGGGTCCAGTGGACCGGTGCCGGTCCAGGTGAAAACCTACCACGTG